ATAGTAACTCTCAAGCAACCCCCACCCCCCCCTACATGGCACCCCGCCCTCCCACAGACCCATTCACCTGCCAGCAAGCTTCTGCAGCCGACAGGTGAATGAAAGCAGCCGGGTGCAATAGCCAATAGCGGGCTGGCTTTTTCTTCCCATTGTTTACATTCTGCTGCCCACGGCAGGATCTAGCCGCCGGCCGGCAGCACCCGACACTACATGTATGCAGTCATGATGTCTCTGCTGGAGCACACGCAGGCCCATACACACTGCTCCCTGTAAGACACGTCTTCCCATAATGCAGTTCTGTACAGACCACACAAGCCTTTCAGTGTACAACACAGCCGGACAACAGCGGGGCCCGGTGACCATCACCAGCTGCCGCCTGCATGGCCGTGCCTCAGACGCTTAGAGAATTATGTGGTCAGGGCTTTTCCCCATAGTTCTCCTTATGGGAACACAAACTAGCGTCCTCCCGTCACCCTAGGCTCAGTATATAGGGAGCTACAGCTCGCAGAATCGGATTCTGAGGACAGGAAGTGCTGCGTAGAGAGCCCAGCAGCTGCAAGTGATGGCAGCCCCCCAGCTATGGGGGTGACATCATTTTTAGGCCCCCGGGGGTCTCTTTCGGCTCAGCTCGCGGTGTCATGAATCTCCTTTCAGCGCTTACCTACCATTAATAAGTTCTAAGGCCTCATCCTTGGAGCGCGTGATTCGCTCTTCCCGCCATGATGAAGGACGCCGGGACTGGTTGTGCTTCACCAACAAGTGGGAACATCGCACTTTTGTAGGTTCGCCTTGCCCGTTCTTCCCACCCGCGGAGGGTCGCTCCCATTGGCTGGCATTAGTCATGTGATTGAAATAGTAAACGCGTCCTGCGAGGGGAAAAAAGAAACACATGAATATAGAACAGAATCCTTTCCACGGTCTCCTGCGGAATTCATACACTGCCTGCCCAAAAAAAGTCACCCCCCCCCCCCGACGACCACGGCAGGGACAGTGCTGTGGGACGCTCGACC